CTAACGGGCATGAGGTGATGTCTCACTGTGGCTTTAATTTGCATTTCCCTAATTATTAGTGAAGTTGAACATATTTTTATTTCCCTGTGGCCATCTGTATGTCTTTGGAAAAATGTTCAGTTCCTCTGCCCATTTTTCAATCAGATTTTTTGTTCTTTTGTTGCTGAGCTATATGAATTCTTTATATTTGCATATTAACCCTTTGTTGGATATATTATTTGCAAATATAGTCTCCCATTTCATAGGTTGCCTTTTCATTTTGATGATTTCCTTCACTGTGCAAAAGCTTTTTACTTTGATGTAGTCGCATTTTTGCTTTTGTTTCTGTTGCATTTGGAGTCAGATCCATGAAAACATTGTTAAGACTGATGTAGCGGAGCTTACTATCTGCTTTCTTCTTGAAAGTTTATGGTTTCGGGTCTTATGTTTAAGTCTTTAACTCATTTTGAGTTAGTTTATGTGAATGGTGCAAGATGGTGGTCTGATTTTTATTCACACGTGGCTATCTAGTTTTCCCAGCACCATTGTTTGAAGAAACTGATCTTTCTCCATTATACTTTTTTTACTCCTTTGTCATAAATTAACTGTCCATATATGTATGGGTTTATTTCTGGGCTCTGGGTTCTCTTTAATTGATGTATATATTTGTTTTTGTCCAAATACTATATCATTTTGACTACTGTGGCTTTGTAGTATAATTTGAAATCAGGAAGATACCTGATACCTCCCTCCAAGTTTGTTTTTGTTTCTTAAGATTGCTTTGCTATTTGGGAATGTTTACGGTTCCACACAAATTTTGGAATTATTTGTCTTATTTTTGTGAAAAATGCCATTAAAAATTTGATAGGGATTGCATTGAACATGTAGATTGTTTTGAATAATATGAACATTTTAACAATATTAATTCTTCTAGTCCATAAGTCCAGAATGTCTTACCATTTATTTGAATCTTTATATTATCAGTACCTTAAGTTTTCAGTGTACAGGTCTTTCACCTCCTTGGTTAAATTTATTCCTCAGTATTTTATTCTTTTTGATACAGTTGTAAATGGAATTATTTTCTTAATTTTCCTTCCTGATTGTTTATTATTAGTGTATAGAAATGTCACAGATTTCTGCAGATTGATTTTGTATGCTGCAACTTTACCGAATTTATTCTAGTGGTTTTTAGGTGGAGTTAATAGATTTTTCCATGTTCAGGATGGGGGAAATAGGTTTACAGTTGTTCATATGAAAAAATGATACAATAATTAAAAAATAATATAATAACAAACTCTTTGTTTCATGTGTTCATAATTGTAAACCTATTTTTTCCCACCCTGTATTAATCATGTTATCTGCAGATAGTGAGAGTTTTGCTTCCTTTCTGATTTGGATGCCCTTTATTTTTTCTCTTGCCTAATTGCTGTGGCTAGGACTTCTAATACTGTGTTGGGTGAAAGTAGTGAGAGTGGGGATTCCTGTCTATTTCTGATCCAGCTTTTCATCGTTAAATACAATGTTAATTGTAGATTTGTCACATATAGCCTTTGTTATGTTGAAGTATGTTCCCACTCTGTTTTTATCATAAATAGATGTTGAATTTTGTCAGTTTATCTTTCTGCATTTATTGAGATGGTCAGATGATTTTTATACTTTCATTTATGTAGTACTCTACATAAAAGTATCACATTGATTAACTTGCAGATGTTGAACCTTCCTTACATCTCTGGAATAAATCCCACTTGATTATGGTGTGTGATCCTTTATATGTATTCTTCCGTCAGTCTGGTAATATTTTGTTGAAGATTTTTGCATGTATGTGCATTAAAGATATTGGTCTATAAATTTTTTGTGGTGTTTTTGTCTAGTTTTGGTATCAGTGTAATTCTGATCTCATTAAATGAGTTCGGAAGCATTCCCTCCTCTTCAGTTTTTTGAAGTAGTCTGAGAAGGACATGTATTAAATCTTCTGTGAATATTTGATAGAATTCACTGGCTATTCACCAGTGAATCTTGGTCTTGGACTTTTGTTTGTTGGGAGTTTTTAGAGTACTGATTCAATTTCCTTACTCGTAATCAGTCTACTCAAATTTTTTGTTCATGAGTGAGTCTGAGAAGAATGTGTGTTTGTAGACATTTCTTCTGGATTGTTCATTTTGTTGGTGTATAATTGTTCATATTATTGTCTTGTGATCTTTGTATTGTAGTATTAGTTGTAACTTCTTCATTTCTGATTTTGTTTATTTGAACCTTCTCTGTTTTATTATGGGTTAATACAGCTAAAAAAAAATGTCAATTGTTTCTCTTTTCAAAGAACCAGCTCTTGGCTTTATTGATCTTTCTAATTTCTTTTTGTTTCCATTTTATTTATTTTCACCCTGATCTTTATTATTATTTCCTTACTTCTGCTAACTTTGGGCCATGTTCTTATTTTTCTCATTCCATTAGGTATAAACTTAGATTGTTTGTTTTGAGATTTTCTTATTTCTTAAGGTAGGCCTTTTTGCTATGAAATTCCTTCCCAAAACTGCTTTTGCTGCATTCTGTAGATTTTGGTGTGTTGTATTTGTGTTTTCTTTTCTCTCTAGGTATTTTTTTTGTTCTTGATTTTTTTGTGATAACCATTTGATTATTCAGTAGCCTGTTGTTTAATCTCCACATTTTGTGTCTTTTTTTTCTTTTCTTTTTTTTTTGTAACTGAGTTCTAGTTTTATACCATTGTGGTCAGAGAAAATACTTGATTTGATTTCAGTCTTCTCGAATTTATTGAGGCTTATTTTGTGGCCTAATGTGATATTCTGGAGAATGTTCCAAGTACACTTTGAGAAGAATGGTATTTTGCTACCAGTTGGATAGAGTGTTCTGTATATAGTTATTAAATCCATCTGATCTAATGTGTCATTTAAGGTCGATGTTCCCTCATTGATTTTCTGTCTGAATGATCTATCCATTGGTGTAAGTAGAGTGTAAAAGTCCCCTATTGTTACTGTATTGCTATTAATTTCCCCTTTTGGTCTGTTAATATTTGTTTTGTATATTCTGTTGCTCCTGTGCTGGGTACACATAAATTTATAAACATTATATATTTTTGCTGTATTGACCCCTTTATCATTATGTAGTATACCCTTCTTTGTCTTTTATCACATTCTTTGTTTTAAAGTCTATTTTTCTGAAATGTATATGGCTACCCTAGCTTTCTTTTCCTTTCTATTTCCATGGAATATCTTTTTAAAAATTTTTATAAGGGTTTGAGTCAAACAGAATATGCCTGGAAGCATGAACAGTAATATACTTTCTACATGGACTATCTTTCACCATCCCTTCACTTTCAGTATCTGTGTGTCCTTATTTCTGAAGTGTCGTGGTGGAGGGTAGGGCTGTCACCTGGCCTGGCTAAAACATGCATCAGCTGCTGCCGGAGGGTAGGTGGGGCTCTCACGAGGGCCTGCCCAGCTGTGCTAACATGTCAGGGGAGAGTTCCAAAATGGTGCCTCCCGGTGCCAACATTTGCAAGGTAGTAGGAAATTACAGAAATGGTACCTACCAGTGTCTCCATTCCCAAGGAAATTTACAAGTTTTCTTTTTCTCTGGCAGATGTTTTAAGGTTAGTAAGTAGGTTTCCTTCCTATATGGTCTAGATACTTTTTGAACTGGTGGTTTTGCACTGTTCCCAGGGCAAGTGAGTTTGCACACAAGTCCTTTAAGTGCGGTTCTCTGTTCCCCACAGTTCTGTGGGTTTCCTGGATGTACTCCCCATTGGTTTTCAAAGCTGTGTTTTGGGGTTTGTCTCTTGTGCAGGATCAGGGTCTCTTCCAAATGTGGATATCTGCACCTGGGGTGTTTTTCTGTTTTTGTTTGTTTTTTGTTTTTGCAAGACTTTGTCTCTGCCTCCCACCGATCTTTTTTTTTTTTTTTTTAATTCTTACCTGATGATATGGTTTTATTGATGATGGGGAGGAGGAGGGAGGAACATGGATGTGAACAGGAAACATTGATTGGTTGCCTCCTGTTTCATCCCAACTGGGAATCGAACCCACAACCTAGGTATGTGCCCTGGCTGGGATCGAACTCATAACCTTTTGGTGTACAGGACAACTCTTACCAACTGAGCCACCATACCCAAGGCCTGGGCTACCTCCTATCCATCTTGATGCTGTCCTTTTATTCTTCATTGTAGAGGCTTTATTCACCTAATTTCCAGGTCTTTGTCAGATGATATTTTCCAGATGTAGTTGTAGACTTGTGTCTATGGGAGGAAGTGTGGTCAGGATCTCCTGTGCTGCCATCCTGAACTGCTCCTAAATCTCCATCTGTAGATTTAAGAAATAGCCATCTCTTTCTCTTAATTTTTTTTTTGACAAGTGCTATTGTGTTCAAGGTGGCCAAATTCATCTTTTTTCTTTTGTGGCCCTAATTTATATGCACTTCTATTTCTCTGAATTGGGAGGAATAACTATACACTAGTCCAAGATTTTTGTTGTGTCATAAATACCAAGAAGTTTGTGCAGTTTAAAATACATAGTAAGACACCATCTGAGTAAAGGATCAAGGATTCTCACCTTCATGAAGATTGATGCAACTTTGTACTAGAAGATTTTAGAAATCTCTATGAGCACTAAAGGTTTAAGAATTGCATAATAAGGGAGACTGGATGAAAGAAGGTGAAGGGATTAAGAACAAATTGGTAGTTACAGAATAGTCATGGGGATGTAAAGTACAGCTTAGGGAATAGAGCAGCCAAAGAACATACACGCATGACCCATGGACACGGACAACATGTCCATGTGAGGGGATTGCCTGAGGGAGTGGAGGTGGCCAAGGGAGAAAAAGTGAGGACAACTGTGTGGCATGAACAATGACGTACAATTAAAAATAATATAAAAGTAATAAAAAAGAATTGCACAATAATCATAAGTTTGAGAACTGTAAGATTTTACTTTTTAAATTTTAGTTTTAAGTTACAGGATTCAAAGATTTTGGGGATGAGGATTTAGAAGTACATAGAAAATGGGAGGTTAGCGCTTGCTTTGGCAGCACATGTACTAAAATTGGAACGATACAGAGATTAGCAGGGCCCCTGCGCAAGGATGGCATGTAAATTCATGAAGCATTCCATATTTAAAAAAAGAAAAGAAAATGGAAAGCTAAGACTATGAACAAAGTTTACTCAGGAACTGGGAAGCAGAGATGAGGGGGGGTGTGTACCTCTGGTTGGAGTTCCGCAGCATTCACATCCGCGTGCCTCCACGTAGCGTTATCAACGTGTCAGCTGAGTATGGTTCTTCACTAGTAAGGAATTATCAGTAACTGAAAACCACTTTATCTTTTTGGCCTTCTAATCTCTTTTCCCTTCACAATTAGCCTTTCTTTACTGTGTATGCTAAGAATTGTAAAAGTAGTGTGGAATTGAGTAGTTATAATAAAATCATGTGTTACCTCTTTGGTGTTTTAATTCTGATCAGAAAAAGAAGTTTGTTTTTGGCAACCATACTTCACATACTTCCTCCTTCCCACCGGTTAGGTTGGCTGTGATGCATAGCTATTTTGATTCAGTTGTTCTAGATTATGTAGTAATTAAACTGTCAGCTGTTTAATGGGCTTATTTTCTCCACCTTGGCTTTTTGCGTATTGAAACAACCAAACCTTCTTTTCTTTGAACTTAGAAACAAAATTGAATAAAACTATTGTTAGCCAGTATTAAGATGACCTTAAATAAGACATCTAGCCTACCCAATTAAATTTTGTGAATATTACTTTCTGTATAAATTAATAAGCTGTCATATCTAAATTTGTCTTTGTTAAGTTTTATGATAATATAATAGGCTCTATCCAGTGAATGTATGAATTGAGTCATAAGTCTTATTTGTCTACCCTTAATTTTCTTCAGATGTCAAGTCATTTTAATGTCTTTCAGAATTTTATAGACTTCAACCATGTCCTTATTACTATACAGAAAGTTCTAATTTCTTTTGATTCTTCTCTCCTTATAGATAAGTCCTCTTCCCCCAGTCACCTCCACCTATAGTTTTAATTTTAGTCACCTTTTTCTGGACAATCTCCACTCATAATGTACACCGCTCGAGACCTACTGATCAGAATACATGTTGTTCATACATGGATTCACATTAAGTGATTTGAATTTTATTTCCAGCATCCTACTGGTTTTTATCAGAAAATTTGTTTTGCTTTGGTTCTGGAAGTGTATTAAGAATAACAACTTTAGAAACATATGCAGGGTTTTTTGAAAAACTTCTTCTGCCCTGTATCTGACAGCTTAGACCACATATTTCAGGATATTTGAGATTATTTTAACCAGAGGCAGATTTTCTTACACTTGTCAGTGTGGAACTAGATCTACCACTTTGCCATCTGTATGTATAGGACCCTTGTCAGAAATCTCTTCTGACCCTCTCTCATCCCTCTCATGACCCTTGTCAGAAGTCTTCTAGATAATTTCATTTGGTTCTCAAAGATAAATTGCTCTCCCCCTCATTTTATATTTTATTCAAAGAAGCAATGATTGCCTTAGAGACTCATATATATTTCTTGTCTTTTTTTTTTTTTTTTAATTCCTTCATTGGCAATAAGGGCTCTGGGAAGAGAGGTTCAGTCTTCTTCCCTGGTGATGATGATAGGTTGATAACACTATTCTAAGGGCCAGGACTATTCTGAGCACTTCACAGAGATTCACTAACTTTCACAGCAGTCCAGTGAGATAAATACTTTTTTTCCTTTTGTACTTGAGAAAATTGAAGCAGAAAGAAATTAAGCAACATGGCCAAAATCACACAGCTAAAAAGTGTTGAATCAGGATTTCAATCAATGAGTCATTTCCACGTAACACTTTTAATCCTGTTATATATTTTAAATGGCAGTATGTTTGCTATTATTTTCTGAATATAGAATGCAAATGTTTGTCTAATTTTGTCATCTTCGGTATATCAGGCCAGATGTGTACACAAAATGATAGGTTGGTGGTATGTGGTGAGAGAAGCTTCATTCTGATACCAGATTCATTTTTATAGAGTTCAAAGTGTGCTTAGGTTGCTTCAGGAGGCTAAAACTGCCAAATATCTACTCATTCATTCATCAAATATTTATTTAGTGCCTAACAAGTGATAGACACTATTTTAGGTGCTTTGGATATATTACTGAGTAAAAAAAGATAAGTATCTGTTGTGGAGAACCTTTCCCATGCTGGGAAAGGGTACCAAAGACAATAGACATAAGTTATTTATTGTGTTAGAAAATCATAATCTCACCTATAAGTGGAACCTAATCAACAAAACAAACAAGCAAGCAAAATAGAACCAGAGACATGGAAGTAAAGAACAAACTGACAGTAACCAGAGGGTGGGGTGGGAGGGGATAATGAGGGGAAAGGAAGGAAGGGTTTTCAGGAACATCTATAAAGGACACATGGACAAAGACAAAGGGGGGTAGGATCACGTGTGGGAAGTGGGGATGGCTGGGGTCAGGGGGAGTGGTGGAGGGAAAATGGAGACAACTGTACTTGAACAACAATAAAAAAAAGTTAAAAAAAAAAGAAAATCAGTGCTATGGGGGGAAAATAGAGTACTAGGAATATAGAAGTAAATTAAAAGAAGGTGAAAGATTTGTAAGACCTGAGGCAGATAGATGTAAGTATCCCAGGTAGAGAGAACAGGCAGTGCAAAGGCCCTGAGGTAGGACTGTGTGTAGTGTGTACAGGAATGCCATGGAAGCCACTGAGGGTACAGCGGAATGAGCAAGAGGAAGGAAAAGACGTGTTGGTGGGAGAGAGGGGTCTCACATAGTGGAGGACCTTATATACCTTTGGCTTTTACCCTGGGCAAAACGAGGAGCCATATTTTGATTCCCTACTATGGCAGCTACCATATGTGGTCTTTCATAGGTATTGTTTTATATGCTCTTCTCCAGAGCCCTAGGAGGTCGATGCTTGAATCACCACATTTTATAGAAACAGATACTGAAATTTCGAGACTAAATATCTTGACCAAGGTGGCATGGCTTACATATGAAAGAATCAGTATTTAATTCTAGGCTATATTATTCTTAAAACCCATGTGCTTAACCATTATGCTGTTTAAGTTCCAGTTTGTGATAACCATTTTGAATGTATTATGGACAGCGACTCTGAAAATAGAGTCAATGAAGTCTTATCAGTGTTATTTTATATTAAAATGTATTTTTTATTATAAGGGAATATCTGTTATATTTTAAGGATATCGACTTTCTGGGTTTTTCCTCCCAGGTGGCATAGATATAGATGCCTTTCAAGATCGCGAGGAAGGCCGCACAGGGCTGGACGACAATGAGGAGGTTATGCGAGCACTGCTCATTCACGAGAAGAAGACCCCCTCTGCCACCGCGGGCTCAGTGGGGGCGGCTGCGCCTGTGACCACTGCCAATGGCAGTGACTCAGAGAGTGAGACCAGTGAGTCAGATGATGACTCTCCCCCTCGTTCAGCAGCCGTGGCTGTGCATCATCGAGAAGAGGACGAGGAGGACGAAGAGTTTGAGGAGGTAGCAGATGACCCTATTGTCATGGTGGCTGGTCGTCCATTCTCCTACAGTGAAGTGAGCCAGCGGCCGGAGCTGGTGGCACAGATGACACCAGAGGAGAAGGAAGCATACATAGCAATGGGACAGCGCATGTTCGAGGACCTGTTTGAATGAGCTCTCTCTACCCTTTCCTCCTTCCTGTAATGTTCATTTCAGAAAGAAATTTCTTACCTTTGAAGAAAAGTATTTAAGTGGCTCTCTGCCCTTCTAGATGTAAAGTGACTATTAATCTTGCACAAAAAACAATGGGGGATAAAGACTGATTTTTATGACAAACTTTCCCAAAAGGTAGGTTGGCTACAAGCATTCCCTTCCCTGGTATTGCTACAGTATTAGTGGTATTTTACTATATATTTTTTAATCGAATCATCTTCTTTTTCTTTTTAAAACACATCCTGCCTCCTTGTGAAATAAGTGAGGGGAGTCTGTATGGTAAATTCTTCCTTCCTGGCTGCCTGCAGAAGTCCACTATGATGGGCTTGCAGTAACTCACTGATCACATTTTTTTAGTCTGTCCTGAGCAAGCATTCTGAACAATTTCTAATAAAAAGCAGTTTGCCAACAGCAAATCATTTGATGAGGGAAAAAACAATCTTAAAATTTCATATAGCCTCACAATCGAGGATGTTGTCAATAAGTAAGAGGAAGAGGGAATGTGTGCCAAAGAGGGGTGGGTATGCCTACATCTCATGATTAATATCTGAACCAAAATTTGTGTGTTTAGAACTGACCTGACTAGTAGATTCTGTTGTTTTGCTTATTGCCTCTTGGTTTGTACATTAGATGATAGAAAACAAAGTGTGCTTGGTAAACACTTACGAAGAAATTAGAAAAAAGTGTGGATATAAGGACAATGAGTCCATATAAAGTGTTGAAAAACAAAGAGCATTTGGAATAGTACTTTTGAGAATTGCTGAGTTTGTGCTGATTTGGATGTCCTTTATAGAAAGCTGTGACTGGTTCCTTTTTTCCTTCTTCTACAGTGCTATAAATTGTTTCATGAGGGCATTTCAGCAGAAATCAGCATATAACAACTGATTACTCCCCTCTTTTTCTCACTCAACACCATGGACTGCTGTCTTTGCCTCTCTCTTGATTGGTGTCAGACAGTGGTGTTTAGAGTAAATCCAGTATATTGTTGAGCATTGTATCCTCAACAAACAGTTTATTTTCAGTTCTGATGTATAATACGATATTATTCCCTAAAGCAGAACTTTAAAAATAAGGAACTTTCATACAAGGATCTATAGCAATTGTATATTTTGTAATATCCACCCTTGCATTGTAATTTTCAAGTATTTATCATCTTATAGTACTTGTGAATTAAGATAGATTTTAGAGTTATCTGAGCCTTGTATGAAGTGATACTTCATTTACCTGGGTTGTGTTAATGACTGCGTATTGACAAACTATTTTATACTGATTGAAATTTGTTAATTTCCAGCTCTGTAACATCTTGGAGCATAATTAAAATGAATACTCATCCCATTAAAAAAGAGTTTCAGACTTTTTTCTCTTATTAGTCATATTTTAAATAACAGATGCAGTTGTATGTGG